GAAAATGCTAAGTGCTCTCCACGAATTAATATACTTGGTCCCCCTGCCCCTTTCAGTCACAGATGAGGACACGAAGAGCAGGGAGAGTATGGACTGTGCCCGAGGTCACTGGTTAACTGGAGGTGAATCTGGGGCTTGGCCTCTGCAGCTTACCACCCCCCTTCCCTTTCCTCAACCCTCCCCAACGCTCCCCAAACACAGACACCTGCACACGTACCGAGGGACTAACGCTGGGGCCCTGAGTGCAAGCCGCCCTCCTCCTCCCCCGTGCTCAGCCTCCCCCTGCACTGAGGCTTTGGCCTAAAGGCTCAGGCTTCCTCTTCTTCCTTCCAAGTTCTGGGGCCCTGAAGCCAGGTGATTTCGGCCCATCCCCCACCCCCAAACCGGAGGGTCACACACACACACCCCTCTGCAATTCCGCTGAAGGGCTCAAACTCCCGAACAGTCCCCGCTGCTCTTGGGGCCTGGCCACAGCACAGGAGGGCTGAGCTTCCCTCTCCCCGTGCCATGCCCTGTGGCACAGGATGCTGGCTTGTCTCCATCCAGTGGTGGCAGCAAAGCCCTCTGCTGCCCCCACCCCAACCCGGGCCACCCTGCACAGCCCTTCAGGGCCCCTGTGTGAGGTCACTGGATTTCTCCCCTGGTCAGTCTGCAATGAAAACATCGTGGCTCAGCAATGCAGGGAAGAGGGCTGTACTCCAGTTAATGACTGCAGCCCAGAGCTGTAGGGACACTGTAGGGACCACCTCGCTGGAAAGCTGAGCCAGCCTCCTCACACCCACCCTCTGCCCCCTGCCCTCTGCCCTCATGGAGATGACCTGAGGGTCACGATGGGTCCCAGGGCTTGGTCCCTCCCCATCTCCCTCTTCTCTGAGTGAACTGCCCTCTTCTCTGTGGGCCACAGGTACTCTCTGCAGTCAACGTCTAACTGCCCCTCCACCCTCCTACTCCCCACCCCCCACAGCCAAAATCACCTGGCGGGCTTTGGAAGAGGCAGGCCGGGCCGGGCAGCGTCCCTCGCGCCTCTGAGGATCTAGTGAGGCCTGGGCGACTACACCTGAAACAAGTCAGTAGGTGACTCTGACCCGCAGCCAATGGCGAACAGGAGGGGTGGGGATTGCGGGCTTTGGCCTCCGCTGAATCCTAGCTCCAATCCCAGCCGGCTCAGGGTCCGGAGCAAGCTGCCATGCTCTCCGGTGTGCTCCGCGGTGAGAGGAAGGGGACGGTGAAAGCACTAAGTCATAAAGTGCTGGTGATGCCCAACCGGTGTGGCTCAGTGGTTGAGCATCAACCTGTGAACCAGGAGGTCACCGGTTCCATTCCTGGTCAGGACTCCCCCCCCCAGTAGAGGGGGTGCAGGAGGCAGCCAACCTGAAGGGCTGGGCAGGGTGGCCCGGGTTGGGGTGGGGGCAGCAGAGGGCTTTGCTGCCACCAGTGGATGGAGACAAGCCGGCATCCTGCGCCGCAGGGCATGGCAGGGGGAGAGGGAAGCTCGTCGAGGTTTCTATCTCTCTATCCGTGTCCCTACCTTCCTAAAAAATCCATAAAAACATTTTAAAAAAAAATAACAAGTGAAGTGCAGTGACAGTAACATGACTGCGTAGCACAGTGTCAGGCACACACACCCCCTCAGCGGCTCTCAACAAGCCCCTCGGCTTCCGGGGGCAGAGACGCAGCCGTCTTTCTTCTCCGACAGCTGCGAGGGAGCAACGGCAGATTTAAATAAGACCTGAGTTCTCTCCTCGATGGCCTAAAAGCTCGGCCGGGGCTCCTAGGGGCCAGGGCAGTCCCAGGCTCAGCCTGTGGAGGAGGAGCGGGCTGGTGCAGCCCCTCCTTCCCGTGCTCTCTGTCCCTCTCAGCCACCGCGCCAAGGCTGATCCCCCAGGCAAGAGGCAGGAGGGACGCAGATCATCATCCTCTCTAGAGCCCAGCAACAGGCTCCAGCGGCCAAGGCCATGGGCCCAGAGCAGAGCAGAGCCGGCAGACAGGCTGGCTTCCTCTGGGCCCCGCTGGCCCGGGTGGGGGTAGTGCCAGGCCAGGCATATGGGAGCGGAGGCTGTGCCCCCCACACCACGCCTTCTTCCTCAGCTCCCGTGAGGGAAGCTGACCCCTTCCTCTGCCAGGAGGGGTTCTGGCTACCCAGGACCGTCACCCACACTCTCTCACCAGGTGGCCCCACCGGGAGTCCAAATAACGCTTCAGAGGTGGGGGGGGGGGGCTCCCCTTTCCAGCCCAGAGAGGCAGCAGAGGCCTGGGGGACCCCGCTGTGGCTCACAGGGAGGAAAGGGGCAGCGGCATCTCTCCCAGAGGCAGCCAGGCTGCAAATCCAACCTGACACTGAGACACAGCTTTGAGGATTAGCCCTGGAGATTAGCAGAAACCTCCCCAGAAATCTGCCCTCCGGGCGGGCCGGTCTGGGGGGTCCTGTCACACAGCGGGTGGGGTGGGGTGGGGCAGAGGAGGAAAGCCCAGCCCCTCAGAGAATGGCGTCTGGTCCAAGGTGGCCCTCGGCCTCGCTCAGAGGCCCATCGAGGTCTGCATGCAGCCATCATAGTCAAGATCTTCTTGCCTGCTCAGCAGCTACCATCCGGCACCAGAATGTCTGCATGTGCAGCTGGGTCCCACTGAGGGGCCATCAAGCCAGAGGCGAAGATGCTTACAGCTTACGCAGGGGGCACCCCCAGGGGACACCTTCCCTCCTCCACGCTGCCTCTGCCTGCAGCAAGCATGTCAAACTCAAAGGCCAACACGTGTCAAACGAGGCGTGTGGCCCGCAGACCCGGAGTCTGACATGCTTGGCCTCCAGAGAGACAGGCCCAGCGCACTTTCAGACCCTGGACTTGGAAGCGTGGGGCCGAGCAGAGGTTAGCCATCCAGGCCAGAGCCCCGGGGAAAAGGGGAAGGCGGGTTAAGGAAAGAAGGGGAAATAGGGTCCCAGGGCCCCCAGCCCAGCTGAACCAGGGCAGCTCTGCTGGGATTGGCCTGTGTGGGAACTCAATCCACAAACAGGACAAGACACCGCACTGCTCCTTTCTCACACAACTCCCTCCAGCCCGGCCCCTCCCCTCAGGGCAGGCCCTTCCCCTCAGGTGGCCCACGTGCCTCTGGGGAGGGGCCTCTGGCCCTGTGGTCACCTGCCCAGGGCCCCTCCTGCTTCCCAGGCCTGCCAGAGTGAGGCTCTGCCCCTGTTCTCTGCCAGGGCCCCGCCGGAGCAGGACGGACGCCTGCCAGCCCCTGCCTTCTCTGAAGGACCCACAGTTCTTCTCCAAGGACTTGGACGCTGGGAATGGACACGGAATTTAGAAAAAGACAGTCCCCAGCCCTACACATGTGGGCTCCGATCCATATCCCTCCTCCAGACACTAAGATTTATTTATTTCCTCAGCGAGTGCCATAGCTTTGCAAGGGGAAAGGGAAACAGCCAGCCCGAGACAAGCTGAAGGGGGAGTTTCAGGGGCGGGAAATGCTGGGTGGGGACATCTCTCCCCACTCCCACCCCGGCAGCTGCAGGGTGAGGTGGGCGGAAGTGCCAGGTAGGAGATGCCCTGGGAGCAGCTGGGCATCAGCCAGGGCTGGCACCACTCCCCCTGTCCAGGCCCAGAGGAGCCGCTGAGAGCTAGCATCATCCTTCCGCCTGTGCTCTCCCCTCTGCATGGCCTCCATAAAGGGAACGCGCTCCATTGCTGCCGGGAAATAAAGGCCCAGAAAACCCTGAGAAAGGAGTCCTGTTCCGACACCACCGAGCTCCCCGGGAATGTCTGCGACGAAGGCCGCCAGCCCCCGCAGGCACGGGCAGCGGCGCCTCAGGGGCCTGGAGGAGCCGGTCTGTTCTGGGCGGCACGGCAGGCTGTCCGAGGGAGAACAGAGTCCCTCTGTCCCTCCCCCAGCCTCCCCTTCCACACACCCCAGGAGCGCTCTCTCAGCGCTGGCCTCGGAGAATCACTCCCAAAGGCTGCCTTTCTCCCCCAAACTGCCTAACCCCAAAGGATCCTAAGGAGAGGGCGCGAGAGCTGGTCTCTGGGCGAGGTAAGTCCTCGAGTTCATCCCATTTCTCTCTGACCTTTAACCCTCAGCCACTTGATGCCACCCCCACACCTCCGACACATAGACAAACCCAGGACTCACCAGCCAGCATGCAAAACCTCCTCCCGGGAAGAGCAGGCACGCCCAAGGCCAAGGCCCTGCTCTCCCTGGACATTGTGGGCAGGATGCTCGGAAGCCTCTGGTCCAAGCCCCTGGACCGGGGAGACCCGCACTCTGGCTGACCTGAGCCCACCGCGCACCAGCCATCCTGGCCGGCGTGTCAGAGGGAGTCTAGATGTTTCCTAAGCATCAGACAAGAGGCCTGTCCCAGGCTTGGCCTGGCCCCCTCCCAGGCCCTGGGGCCTAAGGAAAAAAGTAATGAACTACCTTCTGAAGTCAAATGCCCGCTTCTACCCTGTTCCCCAACCCCAGCCCTCCTTCGCCATGTCTTCCAGATCCGCGTACAGCTGTGCCGGGATACATCAATGTCTCTACACGCACCCATGTTTACTAAATGTATTTATTGAAAACACCACCATGATAAATAGAATGCCGGTACCCCCTGCCATACAGAAAAGGCAGCCAATAAAAACAGGGCTGTGAACATCGGGAAACGTTTCCCACCTGCCCAAAGCCCAGGGCCTGGTCCCTAGTTCCAGGGGAAGTCCGCTCTGGTCCCAGAGGCCTGAGAACATATCGGCAGGACCAAATCCTTGGCATCAGAGGGTTGCAGGAGGATGGGGAGGGAATCCTGTTCTTGCTCGTTGTGCTTACGCAGGCCCGATACTATGGGGAAACCTCTCAGGGGGATGAGGGTATCCACCGGACACGCTGGGGCGACGGGACTAGAGCTTCCCTCAGCCTCATGCTTAACACCGCGTGGAAACCGCGTTCTCTGAGCACACCCGCCAGGCACCGCCAGGCGCCCCTCCTCCGTGCCTGTGCTCACCCCGAGGCCCGCGCCTGCCCCGGCGGGGTCACCGCTGACTCAGGTGGGACACCAGGTAGACGAGGCCCACCAGCAGCAGCCCGCGCACGCCCAGCATCATGAGCAGGAAGAGCAGCAGGATGGAGGTCACCGGCTCCACGGCATGGTTGCCAAAATGCCACTGGGGGAAGCCCATGTTCACCAGCTGCCGGTTGAGGTCGCTGAAGGGAGACTGAGCGGCGGCGCCCAGCCTGGCTCCCCCCTGCGGCTGCCGGAGGCCGGGACCCCCCAGCGGGGCCCCATGGCCCCGATGGAGGAAGCTCTGGAAGGTGGAGACAAGAGAAAAACGAGTGAGTCCAGAGAACGCTTCCCTGGAGGTGAGGACGGGACAGAAGGGAACCCTGTGGGTAGGGCCCTGCCCTCCCCTCATCACCCCAGGCCACACCCTCCTTTCTCAGCAATCCCCACTGCCACCCACAGGAATTCCAGAGACCGAGTCACAAGCTCTGGGGGCACAGAAACTGCATTCCCCACGTGGTGCCAGGAAGAAGGCGCCCGGGACAGAGGAGAGGGAAAGGGTCACGGCGGTGAGACCCCCAGGCCGAGCAGGCAGGCAGGCATGGTTATCACTCCTCCCTCTGCCTCTGCAATCAGCATGGGGTGGTCGCAGGCTCTTCTCCTCCCCTTACTCTCCAGCTTCTCTCTCATCCAACAGCCTCTCAAGAAAGATGCTGGCTCCAGTGGAGTTTGTTAAGCAGCTAAAGAAGGGAGAGCTCTTGGGTTTGCAGTCTGGGAAGGCTGCCAGGAGGAGGGAGAGCGAGGGAGGCGAGAGGCTGGGGTCTCCCTGCGGGTTTTCACCCAGTTTTGGCCACCCCCCACCCCATCCAGCTCAGCTCTCTGCAAAGAGAACTTCAGGTCTGAGGCGAATGACCAGCAAGTGAAGGAGTGCTTGGTCCAGAAGACAGAGGAGAGCTGCTCCCCTTCCACGGGGCCAGGCACCCACCTGCCGCGGGGTGCTGCTGCGGGGTGGGGGGGCGGTCCTCACGCGCGGGTCATCGTCCTGCACAATCTCCCCGTTGGCCAAGATCCGCACCATCCTCCCGGGAGAGCTGGTCCCTGCGGGCTGCTCCTCTCCTCAGGCCTCAAAAACAAAACAAAACAAAACAAAACACCAATGATAAAGAGATGATGCTTGCTTTCAATGGGAGAAGCTGCAATTCTGGGGGCTCACCTTGGTGGCCCATCCTAAGCCGGCACTGCATCGATTAGTAAAAAGGAGAGAAATGGCCGAAACCGGTTTGGCTCAGTGGATAGAGCGTCAGCCTATGGACTGAAGGGTCCCAGGTTTGATTCCGGTCAAGGGCATGTAGCTTGGTTGTGGGCACATCCCCAGTGGGGGTTGTGCAAGAGGCAGCTGATCAATGATGCCCTCTCATCAATGTTTCTAGCTCTCTCTTCCTCTCTGTAAAAAAATCAATAATATATATATATATATATATATATATATATATATATATATATTTAGAAAAGGGGAGAAATGAATGCAAGTTATTCGCTGGAGGGAAGCCTTGCAGATATTGAGTGCAGTGGAGAAACAATGAGAAGGATCCTTGGAGAAAGAGGTTGAATTATTACCCACCGGCAGCAACAGTGGGACGAGTCCCTCCCTGTGGCCCAGGCACTGTGGCAGGTCCGCAAAGGCTGGTCTCACCCCCCCTTACCCCCTGGGGCCGGGCCGATAAAGATGTGACTGGCTGGCCCTGGAGCATCTGTCCACCGGCAGCAGAGAAAGAACTGAAGACCTTCTCTGGGGGCTAAATAAGGAGTGCAGGGCCCCACGGTGCCCAGGCTCTCCACTTCCTTCTGTTCAAACCCTGCTCCACGGTGCCGTTCCTTAGCAGGTACATGCCAAGGACCCGGGCTTTCCTCCCAGGAGATCCCGGCTCACCTCAGAGCCTCTCCAGCTCCTCTGCCCGGCAGCAGAGGGCACTGGCGGCCACTGCCCCAGAGCTGGGAGGAGGAACAGACCTGCAGAGGGCACACCCTTCACCTGTCCCACATCTCAGGGAGCACCAGTCCCTCCTCTGCTAGCAGGAAGGCAGGGCCTGCCTTCCTGAAAATGGGGGTGGGGTGGAGGGGGGGTGCTTCTGTGGCTCTGGGAGAATCCCATTCCGCAGATCCCAAGGGTGTCCCACCAGCTGGAGGTGGGGGTGGGGATCCTTCCAAACCTCTTCCTAGTCTGTGTGTAAAGTCCGTTTTTTTTCCTCCTAAGGAGCTGAGACACAGTTTTCTTTTAAATTCTCAAAAGCACTGGTGACAGGCCAAAAAGGGTTAATAGCGCCCGACTCTTGCCCGCGGTCTGGCTCCTGCAGGAGGCCAAGGGGGTCCCAGCCCCCAAAGCCCCTCTGTGCTTGCTCACCGACCCCCTGCGTGGGCTGCAGGCGTGGCTGCCCGCCCCCGGTGCACCCGACCCTACCAATGGGGGAAGTGGTGCTCCGGGACAGGAAGGGCCCTGCCCGAGCTGCAGATTCTAGCTCTGAACCTGAGCCCGCGGCAGGGGAGGGATGCGCCCCGGCGCCCCGACACCCACCTGCAGGTCCACTGGCCGCGGCTTCCAGGCCCCTTCCTCCCACCTGACCCGCAGGAAGAGCCGCCGACGCCGCCCAGCGGGCGTGGCAGCGCCTCTGCCGGCCGCCGGGGGAACTGCAGCTGCGGCCCGCAGCCAGAGGCGCAGGGCGCGGGAGGAGGGAGAAAGGGGGCGGGGAGGAGAGGGGCGGTCCAGCGGGGAGGGAAGAAGGAGGAAGAAAGATTGTGGAGTAGAGACGGACAAGGTCGCAGGAAGGAGAGGAAGGAGGAGGAAGAAGAAGAGGAAAGGGAAGTGGAGCTCCCAGAAGAGAAACCCAGAGGCTGGGGCGCCCCTGGCCTGGGAGGAGAGGTGGGCACAGGCTCAGGACACCCCGTTAGGTTTGCTGAGCTGGCTCTTTGGATGCCCCTTGAGTAAGGCCTGGCCCTGCCCTCGAGGAGCTCCAACTCCCCAACTCTGGAGAGAAAGAAATGGTCTGACCACAGAGCAGGTGTGACTAGCTGCAGGGGGGCGTCCTGAAGGAGGCGGCTTTGGAGTTGGCACCGGAAGGGTAGGCAGGAGTTTGCCTGGGAGGCTAAGAGGGAAAGGCACTCCTGGCAAAGCTAACCACTTGGCCCAGGAGCGGGCAATCCGCCTGCGCCTCCTTCCTGCTGTTCTCACTCCCGCCCTCTCCCTGGGTTTCACAAGCTGCTCCCGAGGGACCTGGCCGCCAGTGGGAGAGAGTGCGCTCTGCAGGCCCACAATGTGGGTTAGAGTTCAGAACCCAGGCAAACCACTGAGCTGCTCAGTGCCCGCCTCTGCCAAATGGATCTACTCCCAGCCTCACCTCCCAGGATTGTGTGAAGATTGCGAGTCCCTGCCACACAGCAAGTGTTGATAAGCATTAGTGGTTTTTAAAATTTTTTAATTTTTCAATTAGAGCTAATATTCAATATTATATTAGTTTTTGGAGAACAGCCTAGTGGTTAGAAGTTTATATAACTTATCAAATGATCCCCCGATAATGTCTAGTACCCCCAAAATCATACATAGTTATTATAATGCTATTGATTACAGTCCCAATGCTGTACTTTACATCATCCCCATGGCTGTTTTGTAGCTACCAATTCATACTTCTTCATCACGTCACCTATTTCACCCAGCCTCCTCCTACTTGGCAATCATCATTTTCTTCTCTGTGTCTATGAGTTTATTTCTGTTTTATTTATTTCGTTTTTTAGATTCCACATATAAGTGAAATCATATGGTACTTGTCTTTCTCTGACTTATTTCACTTGGCATCATACCCTCTAGGGCCATCCATGTTGTCACAAATGGTAAAATTTCATTTTTATGGCTGAGTAATAGTCCACTGTATACATGTACTGCATCTTCCGTGATTATCAATCAGTGGGTATTTCTGGGAGTAGGCGGGTATTTACTGAGCATACATTAGGACCCAGATGCCTGCTAGCTCCTGGGTGGGGGGAACAGAAAGAAGCATGAGACTTAACTTTCCTCGAAGAACTCATCATCTGCCACCATGGTTTCATTATTTGATTATGAAGCCTTTTAAATAAAAAACGTTGAGCAGATCCCCTGATATCTGTATCTTATTGATGTATTACTTATTTGTTTATAAATCATACAGGTGTACTGTGAGCACAGATTGGCACTGTGAATAAAAGGTGGCTGCTAGAGTTAGCCTGGATGTGGATCTTGGGAGAGCTGCTCTCTAGTGGTGTGATGTTTGCCCAGTTATTCAACCTCTTGGCCTCAGTTTTCTCATCTGTAAAATGGGGATAATTACAGTACCCATCTTACCTAAACTGGTTTGGCTCAGTGGATAGAGCATTGGCCTGCGGACTGAAGGGTCCCAAGTTCGATTCCAGTCAAGGGCATGTACTTTGGTTGCGGGCACATCCCCAGTGGGGGGTGTGCAGGAGACAGTTGATCGATGTTTCTCTCTCATCAATGTTTCTAGCTCTCTATCTCTCTCCCTTCCTCTCTGTAAAAAAAATCAATAAAATATATTTAAAAAAAACAGGACCCATCTTATCAGGTTTTTGTGAAGCACTAAGCTTTACTCTGAGTAGTGTATAAAAGAGATCATGGCCACAGTAAGTGCTCAAGACCTGCTGACCATATTGTCCTTACTACTGCTCCACCACATTAAGTTGATTTTAAAGTATGTACATTAAAAATAATGGGATTTCAAATAAGTATAAACTGAAATCTTAATGCTTTCCTCCTGCACTCTGATACCTCCCAAGTGTGCACACACAGTGTCTCCATGTAAGCAGTAATCCCAAGGCCAAGAATGTCAAATTCATGCGGCACACAATGAATATTTTGGGGGCCCAGTCACTATAACGGTATGTAAAAAAGTTTTCATAAAAATTTTGTAACTTAATTTTATAATTTCCTGTTATACATAATTATTAATAATGAACTATAACATTCACTAATGACTGATTTCTATAATCATGTTGCATTCGTTTTCCTTACATGCCTTAAGCGCAGGCACACCATGTCTCTCCACTAAGACCAGCAGCGTATATTTTAGCAGTCGATTGTCATGTCATGAGTTTTGTACTGACTTGTTTGGTGTGTGCAACAGGAAATATCTTGCTTTTGGAGAATAAGAAAAAATAGGCTTATTTGCATTACACTTATTAATTTGTAAAGTTATTTGATGTCTGGTAAGTTAATGTTGAAGAAAAATATTTTTATTAAAATGTTCTATTATTTTGTTAACAATTATTTGTTTCAGCCCTTTGTATGTCACATATCTATTGAAATAAACCCACATTTCTATCAAAATTGAAGCTTTTTTTTTTTTTTTTTTTTTTTGTAGCCCACATGAACTTAACCTTGTTTATTTGGCTCGTGTTAGCCTTTGAGTTTGACATGCTTGCCCGGCGGGTGCCTGACTGTCACAAGTGGTCTGTGGGTCACCAGGCTCACTGCACGTTGGAATTGCCCGGGACATTTAAACACAATCCTGAGGCTGAGTTCCACCCCTGAGGTGGCAATGCCATGGATCTGAGATATAACTGAGGCATGGAGACATTTCAAGAAAACCATCCTCAGGGGGTTCTAACGAGCAGCCAGGGTTGAAACAACTGCCTTCTGTGAACAGAGCCCCTAAGTGGGGCTGGAAACCACTGTCGGCTGGAGGAACCAGGGAGGAAATAGGGAGGTTTCAAGGAAGGCTTGAGCTGGTACAGCCATTACCACGGAGACAATCCAGCCAATACCCCGAGAGCTCAAAGGCTGAAGTAAATCCTTCCAAAGAAGGTCCAGACCAGCGGCAGGAGGCAGCTGTGAGAGGCTGGCCTGAAAAGGCCTGTCAGTAACCACTAACACCGCCACAGGAGGCCAGGACCACTCTTCCTTCCTCTCCTCTGCTCTCAGGTTCTCCCTGCTCAAGAGCCTACAGTGGTCCCCTATGGTCTGCCCCAACAGGCCCACGACATGGACAGAACCTTCCAATTCTGGCCCCAGAACTCTCACCCACTCTCTCCCTCAGC